CTCATAACTTAGAGCTAAACAGATCTATCTTTAGTTCCTGAGCGTGAATCATTTGCATTATTGGTAATACATGCATTTCATAATGCAGATCGTTTGTTAGCCTGCAACATTTTGCAATGAGTTTGCAGCATGGAGCATCATATTCCCGTGTATTCATACAATATAACTGTATAAAACTGTACAAATGTGTGAGTAATGTTATTTGGAAAGTTTAGTAAATTGATCCGGTACACGGCTGTGCAGCGTAACCAAATTTACACTAAATATAACAGACTATAGGGTTATTTTAGTGTATAAGCATCCGAAGCGCTCACTATTTTCAGATTTTTTATAACAAATGCAGCCCAACAGCGACTGTAGAGCGCCTTAAATCTAACAGTGACGTCACACGGTACGCGGCTGTGTAGCGTAGAGTAAAGAATACACAGCTTAAATATTTTAATCACCACGCTACACAGCCGTGTACCGTCTGACGTCACTGTTAGATTAAAGGCGCTCTACAGTCGCCGTTGGGCTGCGTTTGTTATAAAAAATCTGAAAATAGTGAGCGCTTCGTATGCGTATACACTAAATGAGCTCTATAGTCAGTTATATTTAGTGAGAATTTGGTTCCGCACTTAAAGTACTTTTGTTGAAAACTCGTCTTACTGCGTCTGCATAATTAGTCCAGCAAAGCGTATATCATGCCCAAAAGCCGCTCTCCTACAAAATTATAAATATGCTTTAAAAAACAATTAAACCAGTTTAAACAATCTGTTTGTTACCCTAAAGCAATGGCAGCATCAAAAATTTATAGTAAAAGGCCTGCTTTGGGTGAAAATTATCGATATTTTTTTTAGGTCATTTTCAGACAATCCTGGCAAAAATTATGTGGACACCTAACCTTTGTAAGGTTAATATTAACATTGAGACGTTCTTTCATGAAATTTGTCGCCCCCTGCCCCCTATTCAATGTTGTTTCTCGCATTCAAATTTTAAAAGTTTCATTTACCAACATTGAATTGGGGGTAGGAGGGGGAGAAATTTTCTGGCGGATTAATTATGTAGAAATAGATCTATTTTTGTTCGACGCACTCGCTGTCCACGATAATTTTTGCCAGGATTGTAGCAAGTCTGGAAGTCCTTCTTTATAGAAGTACTTGATAGACAGGCGCCAATTCTGAGGAAGTATATTAAAACTAAAAGAATTCCATGGCTAAATGCCTCTATTAAGCAACTAATGAGGCAAAGAGATTTTCATAAATCAATTCTGAGATGCATTGGGAAAAATTTAATGCTGAAATAAAATTAATGCTGAAATTAAAACTCTTAAAGCTAACTATTTCAATACTAAAATATCTGAGTGTCTTCAGCATAAAAACGTAAAAAAAAGTTGGTCCTTGATTAATAACCTACTTGGGAAGAATGCAAAATCAACCATTATCAATGAAATTAGGACTGATAGTAATGTAATTCTTACAGATGGAAACCTGATTGCAAACAAATTAAATTATTATTTTGTTAATATTGGTCCCTCGCTTGCACTCGGGGTGGAAGAAAATCATCATACCTCTGCTCGTGTGACAAATCGTGGTGATTTAGAATGTAACACAACTTTTTGTTTTTCTGATATAAGTGTTCATCAAGTTCTAAACAACTTAAAACAATTAGTAACATCCAAAGCTACTGGCGTAGACAAAATTCCAGCTAAAGTTCTTAAATTATCTGCAGATATAATTGCACCAACTCTGACAACAATCTTTAACCAATCACTACATACTGGCATATTTGTCAATGACTGGAAATTAGCACGTGTGCAACCGATTTATAAATCTGAGGATAGAAGCAAATGTGAGAATTACCGTCCAATTTCTATTCTCCCAATTGTAAGTATAATCTTGGAAAAAGAAATTTTTCAGCAATTATATAGTTATTTGTCTGCAAACTCACTAATTTCAAAGTTTCAATCTGGATTTCGACCTAAACATTCATCTCTAACCTTACTTCTCCAGATGTGCGATGAATGGCTAAAAAATATGGATGAGGGTAAAATAACTGGTCTTGTTTCTCTGGATATCAAGAAAGTATTTGATTCAATTAACCATCAAATTTTAATGTCAAAAATGAAAGACCAGTTTGGTATTCGTGAAAATGAATTGAATTGGTTTACCTCTTACTTGACTGATCGTCAGCAAGTTTGCTGTGTAAATGACCATATATCCTTTTGGAAAATCTATAGAAAGTGGTGTGCCGCAGGGGTCCATTCTCGATCCTTTGATGTTTTTATTATATATTAATGATTTGCCGCAATATTTAAAATTTACAACTCCGGATTTATATGCTGATGATACGCAGATGTTTGCCTCGTCTGATAATTATGATGACCTGGTGGAACTATTAAGAGCGGTTGTCTGTAATATTCAGGTAAGACGTGTAAAATGAGAAAATTCAAAATCCTTCAAACTTTGTCAGAATATAGGCCTATATGAAGTATTAATGTTGTGAAAGTTTTATTTCGATCGGATAAATATTGAAGGAGAGAGACGTCGAAATTGGTTTTCTCAGGTCACGTTCGATTTTTAGAGGTCATTTTACGGCACTACCAAAATCGCTCTATTTTGCGCGTTAATGGGAATATTTCACAAAACATGATTTTGTTTTATAAATTAGAGATATTTATTGACTAGCAGACGGAATTTAGAGACATTTCTGTAAAAAGTGAATATTTTACAGATTTTCTTAATGTTTATTATTTTCGAACCTCTTTATTATATGCCATATTAGGCAGCGAATATCTCCATTGTTACATCGATTCAGACAAAAAATTCATAACCAGATCAAAGAAATATGTTTTCGCTTGCTATTGATCAAATAAAATTTTGGGGCAACTTAGAATTGAATTTTTGACGAATTTTTTCTTAACCCCTATTTGACCGGAATAACCGTATGTTAATATAATCAGCGTCAAGTCATGTAGTTCAATAAATAACCAAAGAGCTCGTCAAAAGCGTTTATTTCTTCGAGTAAACAAGCCTAGGCCTATAAAACTACCTTAGCTAAAGCTGTACGATTGGCTGAAAGCATTTAGGTCTAAATCACACTGTTTACGGTCGCTTATCGTTCAGGTAATGCCCGATAGCCGGTGCCGCTGATTTGGCAGATTTGGTTTCAATTATATTTTATCAGGGATATGCCGCGATAAGTATAGCGCCGGAGTATATTTTCTATCCCCCTCCCATAAACTCGTGTTCTCACATGCATAAATAGTGCAGACGCTTTTTGAAAAAAACATAGGCCATTTGCAAGGTCATACGATGCAAACGTCGCATTGTTTTGACTTTTTTTAGTCGTATTTCCGGTTGGGTTAGCTCACGCGATTGTAAATATAGACTAGCCATACCTTTCGCCAAAAATAACCTCGGCCCCTTCAAACATATCGTCTTTGTAATAGTCTTGTTCGAATCCCCATAAAAAAAAAAACTATCTAGAGTGTTATTTGCAAGCCTGTATCTTCAAATTTGCATTTTTTCACGGTATTTCCATTTCTTGTCCGGCTGTGAGCTCGAGGTAATTTGATAGTATACGATCGCATTTGACATTCAAACTTCCATAAATCACTACAATGTTAATAATGACTATAACTATCGTACGGAATTAGTTGATCTTTTATTGCTGAATCGAATGGTGGTATTTCTGTCTTCATAGCATGTACTGAACCGAAGATATGAAATTTCTAGCCGTCAACCTCTCGAGGACGACCTCGCAAGGAGTTTTAATTTAATTAATATTAAAGCTGGATTCTTTCACCGTGATGTCATGCCAAAACGTGTCTTTTCTATTTTTAAAAAAGATCCCGGCTCTATTGATTTGTGATTTGTTAATATTAATTACAGTTGTATATTTGATTATTTTCTTAGTGCTCAATAAGTTTGAATTTGTTCTGAGAAAATAGTCAAACTTCAGACCAAACTTCTACGCAGTTACTTATTTAGTAGTTTTATAATTATTAACTGCCCATCACTTTTAAAACAGCAAGAAGATAAAGACGACGTGTACGGAAACCTGCGTGGCAAGCCCTCAGTTTCTTGCCCGTTGCAAAACAGGCCCCCCATAAAACTGAGGGCCTGCCACGCAGGCTATGTGTACGGGTGAGTTATCCATGAAATAAATAGGTGGTTTGCAAAATGAATTCCGTCTTTGTGGATAAAAATTAGTTATAAATAATCTCTCTTGAATGTGTTAAATGCTACATGTCAGGGGCGGCGGAACAGATTTCGTTCTGGGGGGGCTAAATTTTTTCGGCGACTTCCCCCCCCTCCCTTTCGGTCAGTGTACCACTTTAGGGGTATAATATACAAAAAAAGGGACGAAAAAAATTTTTCCGGACTTATATCAAACAAATTTTTCGGAAATACGCTTTTTTTAAACAAAATATTGCTAATTTGTCCCCTTATACCTAAATTTTCAAAAAATAACCTAAATTTTTCCCTAATTTTCACAATTTTTTCGAAAAATTCAAATTTTCTGGGGGGGCTAAACCCCCCCACTTTTACTTCTGGGGGGGCTTTAGCCCCCCTAGCACCCCCCTGTTCCGCCGCCCCTGCTACATGTAGGGATTTCCCCCGGTATATTCCTTCTCTTTTGTTTGGCTGTTTGTGATTATTCGTCTCTTGTCACTGGGTCATGTGGTGCCAGCAACTCTAATCCACCCGATTCAGAATCCGTTCTTCTTAATGATTGTGATAAAAGAAATCAAGGGACACCTGAGGTCGCACGACATTTGCTAGGATTCCAGTTTGAGAACAGAGTCTTGTCTTCCACCTGCACGAGCCGATTAGTTCATTATTTTCTATCTGACATATACTTTTGATCCAATTTCAGTTAAATTTATCCAACCATTTCTGGATGATACATTTACAACAGGCAGTACTCAAGCCAAAGAAAAGTCAACAAAGGCCAGGCCAACTTTCCCAGAGGGTGGCCCGGAATGGTGGAATTATGCAACGTGTTAAATATTTAACAGTTATTCTACGAACTCGAGTCGAATATGAGCTGATAGCCGATGAGGCGCGTAGCGCCGAATCGGCTATCGCTCATATTCGACGAGAGTGAGTGGAATAACTGTTTTATTATATACACAATGTCTGAATTCACAGACTTTGCTTTTCGGATATTTTCAATATTTTTCTATTTTATTTA